GAGAGGAGAGAGAGAGAGAGAGAGAGAGAGAGAGAGAGAGAGAGAGAGAGAGAGAAGAGAGAGAGAGAGAGAGAGAGNGAGAGAGAGAGAGAGAGAGAGAGAGAGATTGCTTTTTTTCTATTTGTCTGGACATTGGATATGTGTTTGCATGCAGAAGAGAACCAGAAGAAGTATGCTGAACAGGATGCTAGGTTTAAGTCCACTACCGTGCTTAAAGAACTATTGGAGCGTTCCAAGTTGAACAAACAAAGGTAACCTAAGACTATGAACTTTTAATGCCCATGAATTGATTGGTGAGTTTTGTTTGCATTCATGTTTGTGTTTGTGTATAATCTGTAGACAGCCATAAACTATTGACTTCAATTCTAACCGAGATTGGGTTGAGAGAGAGAGGGGGGATGGGACTCAATATCTTCTCTGCTTCCTAGCTTGAATAATGAATTTAATTTATACTACATTTCAGTGTATGCTGGTGTTTTTGTGTAGTGCCTTTTGATGGCTAGAAAGAAAAAGTGGGTCAGCTTGTTTGGTTTTTTGGGACAAAAATCAGGGGTTCAAACCCTTGAGCGCCCTCTCTAGGATTAGGGTTAGAGTGAGAGAGGGGATTGGTGGTGTTTTAAGTCTTCTTCTTCAATTAAATTCTCAGAGGAAGAGGGAGCTGGGGCTTTTGATGAGCACATAAGTAGCAAGGTTCAAATGAGAATAGCCTAGCAAATCCCATGCATGGGAGAAAGAGCAACAGAAAGTCAGTTCTTTTATTCTAGTGAAAATAAAGATACTGAATTCTTGGAATTTGGTTTTAAGAGTCTGGGCCGTTTTCATGATCTGTGCTCCCCATGTTCGCTTCACACCTTATATTTGTTTACTCAATCATTCTGATTGTTGAATTTGCTACGATAGAAGATTGTTTTCCATGTTATTTAAAGACAAGATACAAGGTCTGATAGAATTGGTGTGATCATTCTTAGGAACCAACAAGAAATTCAGGATAAATACTGCATTCGAGGTGCCGAATGGGGTGTTGGAGATTGTTCCACTCAAGGGATGACATCTGAAGACAGAGAAACTTTCATTGCCACCTTGAAAGCGAAAAGCACAGCAAAGTAACCCATTTGTATTTTTTTTAGTAAATGGTCTCTCTTTCTTTTCAAGTTAGATCAAAGTGAAGAAAAGTGTGCCCTCAAGAGAAAGTAATGTTCTTCAAATTTATATCATTGTATGTATGATCTTTCTTTGAAACATGATGGGGATTGAGTTGGCTAAACTCATTTGGATTTTCATTGGATTTCTTGTAATAGACAGAGGAAACATTTTTATGTGTTCCATACCCATGATTTGTGTTTTGAGAGCCACAACCGTCCGATCATGATAGGATGATTGGGAGTAAGCTGAGAAGTATGTTGAAAGTAGGTGTCAGTTGTGTTTGTCAAGTCTTAGATCAGATGGAGTCTTAGATCAGATGGCAAACAATGTCGTAGGTTGGCATTTGTTGTGTTTGTCAGGCCATAATTGATAGGTAATTTCATTGTCAGTTCATTGCCAACCATTCGATCTAGGACACATAGAAAGCTTGCCCTCTACACAATATTTGTAGATTATAAATTACATAAGCATGAACATCATATGTGAGGAGTTTCTAGTGTTCTTTGACTTCCATGTGGGGTTGGTAATGGCCAGGCCAGCCCTGGCTCGAGCTTCGCCTGGGTCTCCATAAGGTTGGCCCAAGCCTGCCTCATCTAGTATTGGGCTGAAGAACCCTTGGCTGGTCATGCCTAATAGTCTCAAAAGAAACAAAACAAAACCAAAACAAAAAAAGGCAAAACCGCAAGGCTGGTGCAGCCCTGTCATGCCCTGGCCCAAACTCAGCCCACGTGTGGCCCAGACCCTAGTATTACATAGCTCGGCCGGGACTCTCGGCCCAGTGCCAACCCTCCGATGATGATGATGAATGGCATGTAACATACCTTCTTACATATTTACATAAAGAGTAAGCCTTTAATCTTCCTAGAGGAACATTTAAAGATAATGTTTCTTTCTATTTGGAGCATTCTTTTGAGCTCCATACTAATATGTTTTTAGAAGTACTTTTGAAGGGCTCCTTCAAATGAGATAACAACTTTGAACTCCAAAAACGCTCCAGATCCGTTAGATCTATTTCCATTTTATATGGACAGTGTTGATCTAGTTGTAATAGATTTGGGCCACTTTTTTTCATGGGAGTTCCAGCCTCTAGGTCATGGAGTTATAAGACCGTATGGATGATATTGGGGAAATTTACATCCGTACCGGTTTTTTGAACCGTTAAAATGAAAAAGGACAAAATTAGGGCATTACTACTCGAAAGGATGACCTTGACAAAAATAGGGCATTATTACTCGAAAGGATGACCTTTGCGAAATTTTTATTTTTTGACAAATTCCCCATGGTCTGATTTTTTAATCATCATACCTTTTGGTAACATCAATTGCCCAATTAGACCTCATTTTTTGAAGATTTGAGGTGGTTCGATGTTAATTGCCCATTTAGAACTCATTTTTTGAAGGTTTGAGGCGAACCACATTAAGAAATATCAGATCGCGCTTAAACCTCAAATTTTTTGAAAGTTGAAGGTTGTCATAAAAACTAAAAAATAAATTTAATATGCAGTTTGGTATTTAAAAATCAGACTCGAGACAAACTTTGAAAAATAAATAAAAAGCTGGGGGACAAGGATCTCTGCATAATAACATATAATTTAGGACCATCACGTAATAACAGTCACATAAAATAGTACGACATAATTCTCCCATGATATTAACGAGGCCCATTATTTTATTTTTGTCGAATTCGAGAGCATGCTGTCCATCTACTCCCTCGGGTGAAATTCAACTCCTAAATTTTAAGAATGTAGTATCTTCAACATAGGAACTAACTTAAAAAAAACGAACAGTTCAAGTCTTACTCGTTGTATGGTAAAAAAAAAAAAAAATGTTTCAAGTCTTACTGCCTATCCTTTTTTAGAGCTCCGCCTTGGGTCATAAAGAAGCTCTAGTCTTTGATGAGGAATTTCCTCTAGAGTCGCAGTCAACATAGAAAGAAGATTCACATTATTAAATGGTCTTTAGTTTGCATTCCTAAAAAAAAAAAGAGGCTAATGACACCTTACTTACTCACTAATTGGTGGTGGCATTTGTCGAGAAATCAGGGGCTTCTCTGGGAGAACATTATCTTTGACAATTATGGGAGAGAGTGAAAGAAAGATTAATGTGATTTTGTGGGGAATATATATTTTTATTTTTCTTCTTTTCACCCCTTTTCATTTCATTTCTTTTTATTATTATTATTCTTTTGGGAAAGATCATTTACAAGTAGTCTTATTACAATAACTCTTACTTCAAATAAAATAAAACAAACCAATCCAAGATCTTAAAAACCTTAATGCCACTCAACCCATTTTTTTTTAATCAAAAGAAAATATCTAAAATTCTTATACTTGAGAATATAAAAACAATATAATTAAATATAGCAAAAAAAAAAAGTGTCGGAGATTACTTCAATCGGGCTTATTATACCCTACACAGAGTCACTACTATCCGCTGGCACGGGATTAATGATCAACCTTCAATTTCAACAAGGAAAGCAAGTGTAGGTCAAGTCACACCAATAGAACATGAACCATTTTGATCACAAATCAAACCCTAGATGAATTCCCTTAGCAACCTAGTTTGAGAGAGATGGATTCCCTTTTTATTATACCCTAAAATCCTCAGCCATAAATCCATAGTTGAGAGATGGGAGAGAGATAGAAAGATAAAGTGCAGAGATTTTGGGTATAAACAATTATTTTTTATAGTCTTTAAACAATATTTGGGTTTCCTAGGGTTTTTCTTTGCTTGCCTCTTTTTGTGAGATTGAATATGAACCATTGATCTTGGGTGACTTGCGAGGTAAGAGATTTGAGTCATCCATTCTATAGATGGGCCATCAAGATTGTGGAAGATACTATAACATTTATCCCCTTCTTTCTTTTAACCATTATCCCATCAATATAAATCAAATAAAATAATATTACTCATAATGTTGTGTTTTATAAAAAATATGCACAAGACTTATCAAAGCCTTTTAAAAGATTCACTCAAATCTTCTTTAACCATTTATCCCATAAAAGATAAGACCCCCTAAAGTGGGGCGTGCCACCAATGGGAATAGGAAGCCCCAAAAATTGGGGTGTGCTACCCATGTGGTGGCTTTGTTGCCCCCACCAATTTAGGGCTTGGTGGACCCATATGCACAATGGGTCCCCCAATGCTATTTTTAAATAATTAAAAATCAATAAATGATTTTAGAATTAATTTGAATATTTAAAACATTAAAAATCAATATATTAATTTTTATAAATTCAACTTTTATCAATAAAATATCCAAAAATCTAGAAAAATTCAAATAATAATTTTAAAATCATATCATCATAAAATAAACACTATTAATTTCATAGATGGGATAAGGATCCATATAGTCTAGGAATAAATAATCTGGGGCACTCCACCTTCAACTGTAGACCATAGTCCACACTTGTTTTATCAACCAACCCAACGTTTTCCATGACCCACAGTCTATGCAAGGGCTCATTATTGCATGGGGCTTATTATTGGGTCACCAAAGTTTGGCTGATGAGCCAAGGGGTCGCAATCCTAGTCTGTAGATTTCAGGTTCTCCTCTAAAGATGGGCCAAGGTCACCTATACCTGATGCGACCAGAACTCCTATGACGCATAGGGGTATCTCTCGCACATATATAAGCTTCACCCTGAAAGGTAGTTTGCTTTTCCGAAACGATCTATCATTATGCATGCCGTGTGATGGTGCATGGAGTAGGCTTTGGCCCCATCTCTGAAAGTCACCATCACACATAAAGATCGTACAGTCCCTCGGCTTACTCATCCGGACATACTCCAACCTCATCAAAGGATGACCCATTAAAACCCTTACCGGTTAATTTTCTATGCCCAGGTAACATAGGTTTTTCCCAACTGATTGGCCTAGATCGTCAAGCACAGTTTGGTATCAACAAACATCGTTTGCTTAGTATGGTCCACGAGCGACCACACTCCTATTGAGTTCATGTTCCACTATATCATTTCATTTTACAAGCACTCATAAGGCATTTAATGGCCACATTCACCCAACCGAGACCAAGAAGGCCTTATTGCCCACCGTTCGCTTGTTAGAGCTAGAGTGTCCTGGGTGTGGAAAGGAATTCTTTCGGTGAGGAACTTGTTTCAGACTTACTCCAGGATGGTTGTGGGGTGTGGCTCATTGACTAAGTTCTGATATAGTAAATGGTTACTGCAATACCCACTTAAAGTAGCTTTTCCTGAGCTCTACCACAGGTCTACCTAGAAATTTGTGAACGTTGCTTCAGTAGTCTCACATTATGGTTTTCATCCAGTTAGGGAGGTTAAGCTAGACGTTCGACAGGTAAATGGGATAGTAGAACAACAATTCGTGAAAATGATGGAAGCCTTACATGAATTCTTCTAATATCCTTTCAGGAGGGATAGGCTGGTTTGGACACCTAATGCTAGGAGGGCCTTCTCGGTGGCTTTGTTGTATGACATTCTTTGCCATGATCCTTAGTTGGACGTCAACTGCAAGGTTGCAACCTTCTGGAATTGCAAAGCACCGCACCGTGTTAAGGCTTTCTTGTGGTTGCTCGGCCTTTGTCGCCCTCTAACCCTATACTAGCTTCAGAAGAGAGGTATGATCACTCACTTTGTGTGCCTCATTTGCAAAAGTGATGAAGAGAATATAGACCACCTCTTTGTACACTGCCCCCTGGCTTATGAAGTGTGGAACTGGGTCCTTAAAGGTTTCTTCTAAGTCCCTCATTCCTCTATAGATACTACACTTCTACAGATTGGGTACCCCCCACTCCCTTCTCCTAGTTTAGCACTATAGAGGATTCTCTAGGCGGCAATGATTTGGATAATTTGGAAGGAACGAAACCTTCGCTCCTTTGAAGGCAAAAAGAAAAATGTTGCTCAGATTATTAGATCAATACAAATTGTCTTAATCCTTTGGGGATCTGCGGTTGGTCCCTTTCGTCTGATCCCCAAGGACATTTCTCCACTCATCTTAAGGAGCTTCTAGTCTTCAGGAATCTCGAAGTGCCTCTTGGGTTAGATCTCCTGAAGGTTGGCTTAAACTTAATTTTGACAGAAGTCTTAGATTAGAAGATGGCTTGGCAGGTTACAGAGGTCTTCTAAGAGATTCCATTGAGGTGGTCGTATGGCAATATCAAGGAAGGTCCCATATCTGCGATATTAACGAGATAGAGTTGAGGGCTCTGATAG